GTACAGAAAAGGGCCGAAACCATAGAACACATTTTTATGCAGTGCCCYACGGCACAGCTCRCGTGGCGCTGGTGGGATCGGATATGGAGAARGATGATAKCAGATCCACCATGGCMATGGTCYTGGAGAGCCATTTTAGTGGGTCAYTGGCCACAGGCGCAGAGAGAATCATCTTTCGTGGAAAATATGTACAGCCTGGGWYGCMGGGCAGTACYGTGGGGACTTTGGTGGCAGCGCTGCCTGATGGCGCTCGAGGGGGTGAGGGTGGAAGGAACAGAGACAACTGACCAAATCCGACAACAAATCCAAATGGAAATAACGAGTAGATGGCAGGAAGTGAAGACCAAGCTGGACCTGCTACAAATGACGAGGGACGTAGACCGAGCTATCACCACCTTCAGCACCAACTGGTTAGGAGGGGAGGAAGGAGGATGGATAGCCAGAGTGGAATGGAGTGGTAGGAGACCCAACAACAGGAAAGGGTTGTGGTATGGGATTACCGGCTACTTTTTAAGGACTGGACGACGATAGAACCTTCCTTCCCGCTACGTCCCCCGACAGACTTCCCTGATCCCTTCCCCCCTCACCCACTGGCCCTTGTCGAGATCCCCGAGTGACTTGGCCCTGCCTCCCCCTTCCCGAGATTGCATCCCACCTCTGTTACTTGAATCGTGCAGTATCACTTAAAGATGGCCCTGACTCCCAGTGCCCCTCCGGGAGAAAGGGTCGACGACACAGGCGGTGGGGTGGTGGACCAATATATTCCAAGATAATTCTGTCTGAGGCAGTCAAGGCGGCCTCTGCAATCGCAGTTAATTGGCAAAGGGCTAGGAGAAAGAGGTGGTTCTCCTCCCTTAACTTTCTACACAGGCAACCCTCTGCGTGAGTTTTTTCTTCGATTAATCAGGGAGGAACTAGTTTTTGCAGTAGTAGATATCCGGCATCTGATAATTGGATGAAGAGGTTTCTCCCTGGTCTCAACAAAACCTGCACAGTTAATCCTCTGGAAGCCAGAGTAATCAATGCTGGCAGGTTCCTCACTCCTTTTCTCAATTTTTCTCATTCATCTTGGATCTACTTTGTGTAAGGGACGCTGGACCCGTTTTCCAGCAGGTGATGCTCCCCACCAATAGATGGAGCCTTTCCCCAGGTGCTAGCGGTGTCTGCTCTTATCAGCACCACTAGCACTGCAGGGGGTGTTTAAAAAAAAAAAAAAAAAAAAAAAAAAAAAAAGCAGCAGCAGCCAGGCGACAAGACAATTCGCATTCGAGCCTGTTGTGCAAACGCTGTTGCGGACTTGCTTAGTAAAGTGTCAAGTGAGGTGGAGACGCCGTCTGTACAGTACTTGACGTCGCCCACTGCCATAGTTATAGACCTTGAAAGCAACAGAGAACAGAGAGAGAGGTAAGCAAGGAAGACATTCAGAGAGGAAGAGAGTGAAGGCCTGAGGTTACTTAGGACTTCCATCGAAATTGCCTGGAACAAGCAGGGAGCGTCGTTGAGCTTGCGGCGAAGTGCCTTCTTCGACCCAACCCTTGCATGCATGCACGTTGACATTTGATGTTGGATAGCTTGTGGTGAAGTGCCTTCTTCGACCCTACCCTTGCATGCATGCACGTTGACATTAAATGTCAACGTGCATGCATGCAAGGGTAGGGTCGAAGAAGGCACTTCGCCGCAATCGTATGATAAGAACTTAGTCTGAAATGGAGGGATGCAATGGATGGCAGGTTGGATTTTCTGGGCACAACTGTCTTCACCTGAATAGAATGCATGATCATTACCGCTGTATATGGACTTTAAAGTGCCCCACATGCAGCTATAATGACTGGGCGTTGGTTGAGGATGAAGATGGTGGGATGTCCATCTCCACCTGCTCCCCAGGAATCTCATGGTGTTTCAAGGCAAACAACTATGAGCAGATTTGGACGGACGATTTGAAGTGGGACTGCCAGGGTGGCAGATCCCGCTATGTATTGATGAACAAGAAAAGACTGAGGAAGAAGGTGGAGATGGAGATGAAGATGGAGCTGGATAGAGACGACACACAGCACCACCAATGACAATCAAAACTCACAGTGTAGAATTATGAAGAAAGAAACCAACTGCAGCTGGGGTATAACCCCAGCGGACTGACTGGACTGGACTTGCCAGCACCTATGGCGGAACTGGACGAAATAATAAACGGCCTGTGAGATCAGGCTGAATAGTCACAGAGCCAAATAGGCCCAACTATAGACTGGCCAGAAAGAGTACCGCTGCACGATTGCCCACTGATCTCCAGAACCTTTGAGGACTTTGGGTTCTTCATGGTGCCAAAACAAAAAATGGGCGGTGACGTAGACATCGTGGAGCATGCTATGCAGGATTTGGGCAAAGACCAGGCCAAACGGACACGCCGAGCTGGCCCTGCTGACTCTGAAGTGGCAGCTCAGAATGCAGAAGTAGCCAGCAAAGTTTTTTAACAGAAGCCTCTGGATTTTCGCGAGGAAGAACTGAGGGAACTGAGACTGAATCGCTTGGTAGACGGTGTGGCATTCACTTAACTGAGAATGATACCAAGTGACAAAACAAAAGATGACAAAAAAGCCGGAAAATTGAAATGGATCTAGTAGGCCAAACAGCAGGTTGGGGAAGAGGGGAAAAGCAGAATGAAGAGCAACAGAGGCAGACGAAAGGGTCGGGGGGACAAAGAAGGGAACAGAAGTGCAGGAAGCAAACTGGCAGCATGGGGAACTGAAGTAGTCAAATAAGGCGGGTACACCCCCATCACTCCAGCACTGCCAGCAGATCTCCCCCCTGATGATGCAGTTAAGGCTGGCACACGCCCGTAACTCCAGCATGCCCCCTGATGATGCAGTTTGATGGCTACGGCTGAAACACATGATAGGAGATGTCTTTTTTTTTTTT